GGACTGGCACCTAGCCACCTCCTGGACCCTGGGCAGCTCTCCCGGGTTCCATCCGACTCCGGGCACGAGAGGACGGACATTGTTCCATTGGAAGGCAGTAAAAGGAAGAGTTGAGAAGCCTTTCAGTCCCTGAATTCCAGACAACCCCCCCACCCCACCCGGGGCAGGCTGAGTTTCCTGAAAGCCGCTCTTCCCGCAGAGTCTTCCAGGCAATCAGGGATCGCCCACTGGACCTTGTTGTCCCTGGGCTGCCTTTCCTGCTTACCTCCCCATCTCAAGGGCGCCCTGACACCACATTTAACGTTAAAGAGGGGAGGGATCATAGGTGGGCAAGAGCAGAGCTCCCCCCCCAGCAGACAAAAAGAACCGGTAGCCAACTCTTCCAAGAGCTGCTAGCTCAGGGGGTCTTCAAACTCGGCCCTTTTATGAGACTTGTGGACTTCAACTCCCAGAATTCCTCAGCCTGGCACGCCGGCTGAGGAACTCTGGGAGCTGAAGTCCACAAGTCATACAAGGGCCGAGTTGGAAGACCTCTGAGCTGGGTTGACGAGGGCGATAACAAAAATGCCTCCATGTTTTGACGGTGCGGAGACTCAAATCTTTTGTCACGTGTGAGGCTGTGATTCAGCAGAGTCTCTGATGCCGGGCCATCCTGCGCGTGAAGCAAATTAACCATCGGTCTCGAGGCATCACCATTCTTTGGTGACTGCCCGGTAAACCCAAATGCTCATCTAATCCCGCTGCAGTGTAACTCTCAGGCAGGAACCAATTTCGCTGTGCTGTCCTCTCTCCTCCTGGAAGCAGAAGCCAACTAGCTGTGCCACCAGGAGTGGGCAGGAGATCCTCAGACAGACTAGGATGCCAACCACCCTGTGCTACTTAGGGAAGGCAGGAAGGAAAACCAAGCTGATCTCAAAAGCAGGCAGCAGGCAGAAGCACCTAATCCCGTTTTTTTGGTGCATTCCCGGAGCAGCTACCCTGAAACGTTGCAGCCCTTTGCCGTGCTCCCCCACTTTTGACCGTCCTCGTTTGCAAAGCGCTCATCAAAACAATCTCAAGGGGAAAGTGTGATTCGGGCCCAGCCACGCACCCAGTGACGTCTGCCTCTGGAGTGGACAGAAAATCAGGGTTGCATTTAAAAGAAAAATAAAAAAAAAAGCTTGGGGCACCTGAGTGTTAAAAGTCCAAGAAAGGAAACCCCCCCCCCCCTTTAATGTGCTTCAGGTTCCCAGGAATTTTCTCGTCACAAAAGCCCTCCTCCGGCTCTCTCTAGTCTACCCGGCTCAAGATAGGGAAAGAAAAAAAGAACTATTTTTATTGGCTTCCCAAACTAGTTGATACCTACCCACTAGGCCTGCTGCGCAACAAGATCTGCTCCCCGCCCCGCACTCCTAGCTGGGCTGGAAATAAACAGCAGACGTACTCTGTTGCATCACTCTGCATGTTTATGTGTGTGTGTGTGTGTTTCAAAATGCTGAGTCACAGGCAGCTCTTCCGTTTCCAATTCTCAACAGCATCAGCGTAATGGAAAGGCCCACTCTGGGGTCCCAGAGGTCCCCTGGGCCTGT